CTCTTGACATTCCTGTGTGTTGAGCTAGTGTAAACTGTGATGTCCAATCTTGTACAAATTGCTGCATATCAGTTTCAAAAACAACAAAACTTAGAACAAACTACAATAATGAAAACCTACCTATAAATTGTTATAACAAATCCTTTACATACAGCATACCATTCATACTGAGTTAGTACCAAAGAAAGTCAAGTCAGCAGACAAATAAATCAAACTCAAGTTATTCAGAACAATGGAAAAAAACAAACAAACTCATTTCTATAAGTATTTTTCAGCACACCAACTGTGTTAATCTTGTGAAGCTATTAGCATGCCAAACTACTTACAATATGAAAAAGTACAGATGCTACAAACAATCAGCTCAGGTCATTCAAAAGTTTCTATATAAGGAGCTAAACACATCACAGATTGTTTTTAAACATACTACTACCTTTCATACAGGAACAGATACTGGCCTTGTTCTTGAGCATTATCAACTATCACAGTTTCTAGTTCATCTATTTCCACTAATCATTATGTTTTTGTTTAAAGCAAGTTAAATTACCTTATTCAGTATGCTGAATATGAACAAAAAAGTGACATCTGAATCTGAACAGAAAGGTACTATCAGATTAAAAGCTTATCAACATCTAAACATGAACTCAGAAATATCAGATAAAGAGCACATCCACAGATGAATGTGAACATAATACTACCATCAAATAAAGAGCATATTTACAGTCCTTAAACTAAATACTCAAATCGATTCAATTCACAATGTACTTTAAAACTATGTGACCACTGTAACAAAATTACGGTATTTAAAGTCTTTGCCATAATTTAATCACATTTTCTTTTACATCTAAACTAACATTTACATATTTCTAGTAATATTGAGCTTATACGGCTACATTAAGAAAAAGAATAAACATATGAGCAGTACAAAACAGAATTGCAGAATCTGACAAAAAATTAGAATAATAGTGAAAACTTATTGACACTACCATTTTATATAATAAAATAATACTGTTACATTATTTTGGTGCAATCATGTTTTCGATGTGAACAATATATGTTAAGTAATTTAATCTCAACAAACATCTAGTGCTTGCATTTCATAATTTCATATAATTTTTGACATTACTTTTTTGTGTGTGCATAAATATATAGATACACACACACACACACACACTAAAAGCTTTTACCGATTGTTTATTTAGACATATTAAAGCTTAATTTTATGTGTTTAGAAAACATGCCTGAATTTATTTTTCTAAAAATAATTTTAAAGTAGATTTTGGCTTGGCACATATACTTCTTATTTGTTTTAAACATACATACAATAACTTGTCCTTGTTTCACTAATGTAACTTGTTTTCCTGGATTTTTAATGAGCTATCTGTGCTCTACCTATCACAAGAATGGAAACCCAGTTTCTAACATTGTAAGTCTGCAGACATAGCACTGTAGTTACCCATTCTGTAAAGATGAAAAGCTATAAAAGTTGTTTAACTTATTTTGATTATAAATAATTATACTTCTTTCTTCAGTACAAAAGTACTTGGCTTTGAATATAAAATTGATCTTTATAACTGTAGGGTTGTGATCCTGTTTAATTTGCAAATTAAAATAGTTAATAGTTTTCTTGTACAACTGTACATCTGAAACAAAGATGATATAATACAGTTTAAGATACTTAAATATTACAACGTATGCATCTAAACCAAACTAATGTACATGATATACATTCATTATTACCCCCCCCACCCATACGACCAAAACATTTATTCTTCTCATTTATTTTCTTGCTTTTACAAAACATAAACCAATACAAAACTTTTACATTTGTTCTTTTCAAAAAAGTGAAATGACAATAAAGACTGCATGGTCTAATTTTCCATAAACCAAAGCCCAACCTGTATGCTTTAAATTATTACTCTGTCATGAAGTATGAGCCAAGAGGAGGCTATTATGTTTAAGTAATTTTTACCCCCCACCCCCTCATGAGTTTTTAGCAGTGCTTGTTAAAAACAGGTTATACTCAGTTAGGTTTAAATGTTTCAATAATATTTTGTACTGGAATCTGATAACTTTGATAAATTTATGAACTCCAATCACTGTTTTATTCATAATACATTTCTGAAAGAAATCTCTGTTCAATATATATTCTACATCTTTGGAGAAATACATAATGAATATTGTACAATCAGATTTTGATTATAAAAAAGTTTGTTTTTTAAGTGCAAAGTTGCACAATGGACTATCTGCATCATGCCCACAATAGGAATTAAACCCTGAATTTTAATGTTATAAACCATCAAATTTATTGCTGAGATACCATGGAGCAATAATAAAAAAAAAGACAACATATAAGTATGTGTGCTTAATAAAATGTTATCTCAATCTTCGATATATTTGGATAATGCAAAATTGGTCAAATTCATGGATGTTACAAAAAAAAAACCAATACAAGAAAGTTCAACATTTGTCGTCAATGAGAAAAAGTAAAAAACCGATTGGTTACATAAAGGCAGTAAATACGTTTGATACGTATCACTGGCATAAGTCACATCAAACTTGTGACTGGTTTTGCAAGGGTCCACTTTTTTAAAAAGACACAAACCTATTTACATTATTAAAGCTACACAATCATAACTAGTTCTTTAACATCAGTGTTTTGATTTTTATAACTTCTAACTAAACCAGTTGAGCTTCAGTAATTCAATAAATGAATGTCTGAAATGTCCTATAAAAACAAACACATGCTGCAAGTATTTTTTCAATGAAATGTCAAAACATAGTCAAGATGATTAGACTAGATTATCATCAAAAATGCAGCTTAAGCACAGTCCAACTATGGCAGTTTTGGAAAATTCGTTCCATGTAAAAATAAGCAAACTACTTAACAACAAAAAGAAATATATATAAGAATAAGGTTTAATAATCAACGAATAAACAGTATTATATTGAAAAATATGGGAGTTGTTCCTTTCTTAAAAAGACACAAATAAATGAAACAATTTTTCAACACTTTCATTAGAATTTATATTATGCGATGTTAAGATAATGAAAAATAACATCTTTTAGGTTTTATAGGTTCACAACAATACATAAGAAACACGTAACTTAAAGGTCCGAGGAAAGCTAGATGTAAGTATTTTCAATTGATTGATCAGTTCTGCAGGACCTTTCACCTGATAAATTTTGCATCACAAGTGGGATTATGTATTTACTGTTTCAGTAAGACAGATTGCAATGATAACAAATTTTTCCCCAAGTTATTTGATGTGAAGTTGTCCAACAAGAGAAATATAATAACTTTATCAACAATGTTCAGAAAAACAGTTTTGATATCAAAGCAAATTAATAACTGGTGCATCTGCAAAACACAATCTAGGTAAATACTTAATAATGAAAGTGAGATAAGTTTTATGAGGACATATTTACTTATTTTCACTTTGAAAAAAAACAAAGCCAGGTAAGTATCTTCACAAATGTGATAAAACGTAGTTTATGTACCAAACACACACACACAGAATTCAGCAACTAGTAAGTGTTAAAAATAAAAGTCATGCCATCCATTACAAGACTGTGAAACTAAACCATGTTAGAAAATTAACACCATGCAACAGCAACTTTCTTTCATTCAAAATATAACTATATGATAACTTCATAATTCCTAACCACTAAAAAAAAAGTTTGAACATATTTATTTAACTTATTGAATTATTTGAGAATAAAAAGTGTGTTAAGTTATATTTGAATGTAATATCAAAGTGATCGAGCATGTGTGGTAGGTGTTAAAAAAAATATATGGATGAATGAAGACAACCATTTCTTGTTAACTCAACTGGTATTAATACACTTGAAAATAATCAAAACAAGCCATCCAAAACATTTTAATTGTAAATAAAATTCACGTATTTTATATGTTAATTTCTGTAAACCAAAATTTTGCTCTATCTTTATTCTGTACTTTATAAAAATGCACATTATATATATCTTTGTATATTGTTATTTATAAAGATAATACAAAGATAGGTGTCACTACAAAATTATCTAAACAAATCAGTAAATCGATGACTTAAAGGTTGTTTTTGCTATCATTGACTGTACAAGATGTGAGCATTAAGTCACGATAGTAAAACATTTTGGAAATAACTAAGACAACATACATAAATATTGTTAGTGTAATTTTATAAAGTGATGTAAACTTTGTTTCGTGCTTTAACACAATTACACTTTGTTTATATTTACTGTTAGCTGCTGGTTGCACACAGGTTATAAATCCACCCCTTGCAGAGATTGTGTTCAAAAGTATTTTTTTTCCAGAAATAAACTAATTTCCCTTCCAATTTTTACACTATTTTTAATTATGAAGCAGTGGCCAATACTGATTCTTTTTAAGCTGCTTGATCAACCCAAATCTTTTTTTTGTCACCTTTCATAGATGTTTACATGAAATATACATTTTCATCCAGCCCAAGAACAGCCGACTTAGATTTTTCACTTCTTTTTTTCTTTGACCTTCAATTAGCTGACTACCCTAAACCTATCAGTAAAACAAGTTGTGTTGATACTTCAACACAAGATCAATCACCCTCACATATAATGACAATAACTGTATTTGACAGATATAATGGCATTATTGGGTGAAAAAGTCAAAAAATATTAATGTATGGCAACAAATGTTTTTATAATTTTGAATGACATAACTTCTTACTGCAAAGTAATTAATTTTCCTCATTTTTCAACAATAGTCACAAACAGGACTCTTCTCTATCAAATTTCTGTGTTCGCTGAGCATTGTCCATGCAGAACAAGTTCATAAAGGATATCTTGAATACCTTAATATATTGGCATGGACAAGATTTGGTCTTTCACTGCCATAATGGTGTAAATGTTGCTCCTCGAGTTGTAAGTGTTAACAATTCTACACAAGTTTAGTAAATTGGCATGTGGTTATGAGATAATTTTGGGAATGCTAAATACATTAACATCATTTTAAGGCCACAATATTACTGTTATTGTTTTTTTTTTTTTAAATCAAAACCACCTCAAGTTAATGTTGTAAATCCAAAGTTGTTAGCATGATGTTAATTTCACGCTGTTCATGATTTAGTTTAAATTTTATTCAAATATTTTGTTTGAAGAATGTTGATTTTCTTAATAAGCTGTGTCATTTATAGCTACATTTTACAAAAGCAAAATAACATGAGTATAATTTTACTAAACACAAAATTTATAGGTACAACGAGGAGTGACTGCCAAGGAACATTATTTAAAAATACTAAATATTGCTTAACAAAGACAAAATCAAACAAATTTTAATCTTAAAAATGATTCACCTATGAAATAAATCTGAGAAAGTGAAATTTTGATTTAACATAGCTAACATATGATGAGCATAACCATAAATTCCACTTTTGTGGCAAATTCTGACTGACTGCTGATACTGACTAGCAGTTGGAAAATAGCCTTAATAATCACTTGTCTAGCAGAAAAAGATAGCTAATTAAAATTACGAATTCCAAGGCCTAACGATGATGAAAAATATAATCCCTGAAAAGTTTTATACCACAATATGCAGTGGAATTTCGGAAGCTCAATATAAATAATTTTCATCGGCAAAAAGTTAGACAGAAATGAAAACTTATCCATTATAATTAAGCTGTTATAACTAAGAAACTTGTACTGACACGTAACTGAAATTGTAGTAGTTATTATAGAAATCATAATATTTTGAATCTCTTCTTGGAAATGTTGTGTTTTTTACAGGTAGAATATAATGAAAAACACTTCTTATCTGTTAGAACATATATATTCAAAAAATACTTCAAATAAATATTCCCAAAGCAAAGTATCAAATTAATGACAATTCAACCAACTGGATGTACTTAAACGTACACAATCTTTGTTTTAGAAATATTCTCTTTACTCATCCTTAAGGCGAGTATTTCCACCATTAACCGAGAAGGATCGATTCTCTCGTCTCAAAGTCCAGTTTCCAAGGAAGCGCAGGCGACGCAGCAATTCCTGCCTCATGGCTGCTGTGAATTTTGTAACTAGACATAATGCTGTGGCTCCAGCAAATACCACATTATAAAAAAGAATGATGTAAAAATTTCCTAACCACTCAATTCTTCCAAACTCTCCTAGCAGATCAAAGTTAGTAATTCCTGAAAAAAATACAAACTTCACTATTTACTTTCACTATATATGTGAATAAATATATATTCAATCCAAATGGTCTTTCATTTTGTGGCACTGTCTTTTAGATTTACACATAAATCAAAACAGTCTTGCTACAGACAGGTTGATCGTATATAATTTTCAATTCTGCAATACTTCTAACGATAATAACCTGAACCTTTGCAACAAAACATATCTGAATTTTAAACTTATACATATTATACCAAGTTTTATGCAAGAAGGTCAAGCCAAGTTGTTTATCTGGGGAAATGATACTTTATCAATTACTTAAAACATGGTTCTTACACTTTTGGGTTTAACAAATTCCAAGGGCTTTTCCAATACTACTAAGCAGATAAAATGAGCCTTTTAAGTTTGCTAGTAACTAAACACTTCATGCCTAAAACAGTTCTTTTTGTATCAGTCTGTTGTTAAGTTAATAATTAGAAAAAGACAATAGCATTTAGTTCAGTTTTTATTAAAACTCTCAAATAATTATTATATTTTGCAAATCCAGCATGTCTTCCTAAGATTTTTGTGTTTTGTTCTTTTGTGAGACTATCATAAATTATGTATTGAAGGTCCTATGAAGCATGCATGAAAACCAACACAGTTGTTAATAACAAATATGCAGTGAGTCAATTTTCTTTCTACAGTGTTTATAAAATTAACAACACACACACACACTAGTAATTTAAAAACTTTTAAGGAGGAAGTTTAATGTTGACCAACATAATCACTAATAACAAACATGCAGCAAGTTGATTCACTTTTTACAGTTTTTATAAAATCAACAGCACACACATACAATAGTAATTTAAAAACTTTAAGGAGGAAGTTTAATGTTGACCAACATAAAGTCAACACACAACAGCAGTTTAAAAAAAACTTTAACAAAGGAGTTTAATGGGTGGTGCTAAAATAATAGTTTGTATCCTCTTTATATGTTAAAATAAATAATTTATATTACACAAGTTAATTTTTTAATGAAAAATAAATAATTGCAGTTTTCCTACAACACAAAAGATCAATTAACATGATCAGTAAGAAAAATTAGCTGCAATTCAAAGGTTGTAATCAATCAGTCACTGACTGATTATCTGTGAATGTCACTGGCAGGATCTTTATATTAATAAGCCAAAGGCCCGCAAAGCCTAACTTGTGGGTGACAGTACTCTAGGTGGTAATGAGTTGAAGAAAACTGTCAGTTATCAATTACAAAGTTTCTCTTGGGCCTCTATCCAACAGATTAGTACTGATTAGCTGGAGCTTGATACATTTCTACAAAACATGGATTATCACACACACACTGGTTAATCAACTCAAATCAGAGAACATGAAAATGTGTAATCTGATCAGAATTTGAATTTAACAATTAAAAATTAAGTTTTTTTTTCTGCAGAATGAACTGATTTTCTGTGTTTATTCACCAATCAAACCACAGCTATAAAGATTTGATGAAAGCAGGAGAAATGCCAATAAGTGTTTGCAATACCACAGTTTATTCATCTATTATTCACTTGTAGCTGCCACAATTTTTATTTAATCACTTTTGCCAGTTTTACACAAATAAAATTAAATTAAGGGCCTTTCCAGGCTCATGAGAGCAAAATTATATATTTCTATATGTTTCCAAGACCTGTGAGAACCATGTTAAAAAGTGAAAACCTTTTTTTTGTCGTTTTTCTCACAACAAATTTGTTCAGATCTTTATAGTTTGGATAACTTTTGTAGATATGAGAAATGACTAGCCGAGTATATCGGTAGGTATAAACTTTATAAGTGCTCCATTAAATCTGCTCACTTGTATCCAGAATCATAAAACTTTCACAATATGTTTTACCTTTACAATTTTATATCTACAATAACCTTGTGAAGCCTAAGGAGTTAGAAACTAGATTATTACTTTTTTTTATTTATGAAGCAAATTGTTTACTTTTAATTCCTCCTGAATACAAGTATTTTCATACGTTTAAGTCAATGATATGAAATTAATTAGAAGTAAACTGTAATAGGTAAAGCTAAAACTAATTACAATACCTAAAGGAAAATAAATATATGTAAATCACTGATAAAGAAAGAAAGAAAATGATATTAACTGACGATACCAGGAGTAAGGATTTACCTAATGTTCGTGTCAATACAGGCAAAGCTGAGCTGAGAACAAGAAGTACTGCACAATTTCCCACAACTTGTGTCATGGAAGTATCGTGCACTGTGGGCTGAATACGACAGAACAGGGGTAAAGTGTACAATCCTACCACTGAAGCAGACCATAAATATCTAAACAGAGTTAAGGCTTTATCTACGTCTCCATCAAGTTTATAATTATATGTATCAAGGTCGAATCCCATATCAGGCCTTATTACTACTAACTGGGTCTTCACGACCCAACCTGCAATATAGCAAGAAACATGTTCCAAAATAATTAATAACCACTAAAAGGGCTAAGTTATTTCCCGGTCTAAATATATTTATTATTACCTTTCTCAATATTATAAAATACTTATTTTGTTAAACAATTCTCTTATATTTTTATCAACAAGTCACCTGCTATCTATCTTGTTCAGCTCTGGTCTTACATTGGTAATCAATAATTTCTCAATATAGTAGAAATCCATAAAAATTTGACACATCTTAAGGTATCATTCAGAAAGCATCAGAATGACTGATCAACCAATAAATGTTAAAATTCTATATTAATTACACTGCTCACTGGTAATAAAAGGTCACCTCACTCATCTCATACTCTTCATAAATCTACTATGTTGAATATTCTTATTAAAATATTGTCATATATTTGAAACAATGAAACAAAGCAATAACTATAAAGTATACATTTTTTGAATTTTGTTTTTTCATGAAGAATGTTGTACGACAATCATGAAACTCTTTGTGCAGTTCTTTGATATCAGTAATAAGTTTTTTGCAACCAGGCATTTTGTATTCTTAGAAACCACAGTAAACTGGGAAAATTTCTGAAGTATCAACAATTTTATATTTGATTTGTTCTACACCTTATTGAAAAAAATTCTACAAACTATATATCTCTGGGTTTAACCATGAGATGATTGCACGTCCAAATAATAACAACCAAGTTGAACCTTATGATCGTTTCTCTGATATAATACCAACTTTATGAGAGTCACAAATTTAGCTCAATCCTCCCCTTTTAAGCACTTGTATTTTATAGAATTAAAAGGTAGTACCCTGTGGCTTTAAATATTTTATTTTCTAAGACAAATATATCTATAGGTTTTAATGTTTTATAAGTTATCAAGTTATAACAGCAAAACCTTTACAGTCTCATGCCTTATCATGTTCAGTCTAATGTTATCTTTTTTTAAGAATAATTTCTATACATTTATTAAGCACCTAAACTATCATTACAGATTAGTTTAAAACCTATGTGTGCATGTGTAAATCTAGCACCAGCAATATATCTTGAAAATAATCACACTCATCTTTGTTAAGAATGTTAACCTTATGCATATCAGAGGATCAAAATGCACGTTATGACCTTTTTACAGAGTTACATTCAAAATTTAATTAAACTACTTTATTATCAATGTATGTCAATAAGTTTGGCATAAAAACATAGTGAATACTTTAAATTTTTATATTATCTAAATTTCAAAATGATATGTTAAACAAATGCTCAAATCTTAAACTCTGTGTCAAGTGATACATCTAGCACTCTGATTACCTCATTTTACTTTTTCTTTCTATCCCTTTTGTGCAATTAATAAATCAGATACACATATTGACAACCCAGAATATAAAATGTGAACGTTCAGTCTCCTGCTTTACTGAGATATCATTATTTTTGGCACACCCACATGACATGCCCTCTATTTCTCTTTCAAAAAGTATGTTTATAATTCTCTCTCTCACATTGCTATTGGACATGTTTATAACCAATATACAGAGAAATTTCTGAATCACATGAATCTGAAAATTGTCAAATTGTATTTGATGCTCAGACCCAGTAACTTGCAAAGAAATCTTGAGATGTGTTCAGTAAACTCACTGCACTGAGCAGAAGTAATAATTTTAACCTAGTTATAGCTTAGCTAGCTAAAAAGGCAGATAAAGTAGTAGTTTTTGAACATTCTGTTCTGGTGCCAAATATACTTTTTATGTTACAAAATACGTATTTGAAAGCAACAGAAATTTTGCGGATAAACAATAATGTGTGAAAAAAATGTTATTTAAGTACATTTTTCAGTACAAATAGCCCTATTTACTTAAGTAAATCTCGGATTTCTTATTTATGTCAGCTTTTATATATTTTTAGCAGTTTCTTTTTCCATGTACAAACTATTAGCTCATAGCTCTGTCATATCTTGACCAATTTGAGATCTAATTACAGTTTTAGACTTAGGAGGTCAAACCCTTTTAATTGATGTATTTGTCCATGCCCAAGGTCTCATAAATTAATTTACTCTAATCCTACCTAAAAGAATTTTGATTTAAGGGTAGGCTGGTAGAGATCCTGAGGAGTAATAAAATCAAATCAAGTATACTCGCGCCCCACACTTGGTATTGCTGGTGCATAAAAATATAGCTAATAAAATAGAAAATAAAGGTCTTGTGGATTAATTTACTCTAATCCTGACTAAAACAATTTCAAGTGCCATGGCTATTGAGGATTCCTTCTTGTTTATGTTACTAAAACGTAAAAACTAGAAATTTACTAGGTTAGATAACAAAACATAAAAGAAGAAAATTCATATGACCAGCTGCAGCTAACTACATCATGCAATTAAACTTAGTTGTTTACACTCAGTTCTCCTGCTGTGGTTATTTTAGTACTATGCCATTAGATAAGGCATTGTAAAGTAATAAAATTAAAAGCAAACAGATGTGAAATGTTTAGAAAACTGAAGCTGTGTTAGAATAAATAATTGTCTTTTAAAATCTAATGCCATTCTAGGGAATGAAAAAAAGGCATTAGTCATTTCATTTTGAATTTTTCAATATTCATTTCTCACATAAGATAACACCGAAACAACACTATGGAAACTGGAATCAAAGGATACAAGATAAGGACTATTTCTAAGGCAGCTCCAACTGGTCCTAGAGTTGACAGGGAGCTTATACCTAGAGAAAATTGCTGAAAAAAGTTCTTTTGTTAGTTTGACCCATTACATTATAATGTACAGTGAAAGAAAGAAATGAAACATTTCATCAAACTGTCAAAATCGAAACTCAGAAAGAAAATATACTTACATCTTATAATTTTATGTTACAACCTTAAAATAGATAAATAATCAAGCATTCTATCACCTTAAAATTAATGTTTACCATATACTGAACACTGATAATAGAGAGGTACATATGTAAAATCTTAAAGATAAATTAGGTAAAGTGTGCAGTATTTGATAATACTTGTTTATGATATCATTAAAAGTATACTTACATCTGAGAAAGCAACCACAAAGATTTGGTCAGTCAGTTAGTTTGTTTCAGAAACTTCTTGCAAGGCTACACGAAGGCTATATACACATATCCATTCCTAATTTTGAACTGTTAGTTTACAGGGAAATTAGCTAGTCAACAGCACCCACTGCTAACTCTTGTTTGACCAAATTTTGGGATTTGACTGTTACTCTTATAGTGCATCCATATCCCAAAATGCAGGGTGTAATTTTGCAGCAATAAGCCCTGAACTGTGAACCCTCGGATCCACAGCCAGTGTACATTTGGCCACGCCCTGCTTGACTATCAGGGACACGTGTCTATGAGATTTAATAACTAACTTGTCAGGATCTCCATATTTATGTAAAATCAAACTAATCAAGATTAATCCAAACTGTTGTGTGGGGGATAGTTATTCTATGAAAATGAAAAGTATTAAATATATTTTGCAATTTTGATACAATAACAATTTGGAACAGTAAAGCTGATTTTTATAGGTGTGCTACAATACTACAACAATTCAATAACAATAGATTTTAGTGTTTAATAACAAAAAAATGAATGGTTGTTTAGACTTTTTTTTACTGACAAAAAATTCTCTCTTTTGACAGATGTTTTAGAAAATTATAGGTTTACAGAATCACAGATAATTTTATGCAGAATCCATTAGAGGAAACATAAAAATGTTTACCTATCCATTCATCTATGTAAACTACTGTATCTAGAGTTGTAGATAACTATAATCAAGTAATTTAAGAATTGTAACAGACGTTTTACAGTTCCTCGGGTTACTGAAGATACAGTTGCAGAATTTTACTTTTTATTGTCTGATTATCTTCCTCTCACTCCTTTGATAAAATTAATGGGTATTGATAAACTAATAAAAACATTTAAACAATTTGCATGTTTAATGAAAGCATTCCTACAGAGAATTTTATCTGTTAAATACAAGACCAAGTTTTTGTATTCATCTTAAAGGAACTTCAAATTGAAAAATGGAGAGGATTTAAATTGATAAGCCCAATTAAAAAGCAGTCAAACAAAGCATTTATGATAGCAGAACAGATGGAAAATAACAGAGTTCATATTATATTACTTTTATTAGATCTTTTAATAAAAAACAATTACTTGCTTGATTGCTTCATGTATGGTGGTTTACTCATAAGTTATTTACATGAAAATGAATTAATAATTTCCAATTATAAAGCTATATATAACACGAAGGAATCCTCAAAAGCTGTGGCACTTGAAATTCTTTTACTCAGGATTAGAGTAAATTAATCTATAGGACCTTTCTTTTCTTTTTATTAGCTATATTTTTGTGTACCAGCAATACCAAGCATGAAGCACTAGTACATCCGATTCGATTTTATTACTCATTAGGATCTCTACCAGCTTACTCTCAAATTGAAATTGTTTTAGGTAGGTTTAGAGTAAATTAATCTACAAGATTTTGAAATGATTAAATATATCAATCGAAAGGGTTTCACCTTTTGAGACCAAAACTGTAATTAGATCTCAAATTGGTCAAGAGATGATGGAGCTACCAGTTAAAGTTTGTACTTGAAAAACTCAGAGCCATTCTATGAACTGCTATGCCGCAGCTAAAAACAAATAGTGCAGCACCACAAAGAAATTTTCTCATAAAATAGAATGTAAGCTTGCATAGTTATTAAATGATCTGAAGAAACTAAATTGACTAGTCATTTCTTGATAAATAATTTAATGTATACAGTATAGAGAACAATTAATTTGTTTTGAAAAGAACCTGAAAGTATTACAAATAGAAACAAGACTTACCTTAGAATATAAAGGAAGAGCTCGAATGCCCACTAAAAGTTCTAGGGTGTTGTGAGCTACCATTAAAACTGAAATTCCCTGAAAAATAATAAACAATAAATTATTGAAGAAACTTTAAAATTTTCATTAATAAGGTTGATTTAAAATCATATTTTTCTGATGTTGATTGTTTTATGATCACAATAGCTGAAACGTTTAACATGGAACTTCTAAAAAACAAACACTGAGTTGATCACCAAATTTCCATTTACACACACACACAGATAAACCAAAACCTAATCTGTGAACACTTACAGTTAATCCCAAGAGTAAAAGCATTACTACGGGATAGACCAAGTTCCTTCTTATGGGCGAGAGTTTAGTCTGATGCTCTAAAACGAATAAAAACACAATGTTTTACCAATTCCTTTTCAATTATAGAATAAATATGATTATCATTTGTAAGAAAGAGATACCCTTGCTTGGATAAAAAATAAAAAAAGGCTTACAGAGCATTTTTACTGCATGATTGATATATTCATTAAGAATATCACAATGCCATTTTACTTTTTATGCCTTTTACTTTAATGAGAGTACAAACAAAAGTAAGGTATTTCGTAATAACACAATAATACCTTACATACATAATAATAATATTTTAGATGAGATATTTATAAATTTTAACCAGTTTAGTCAGTCTTCATTTCAGAGCTCTATAAGTCAAATGATATGAATGGATAAATTTCATTAAATTTATACCAAAAGTTTACCTCACTATGCATTACTTTATTTAAAAAGACTTAACATTTTGATAAGTGATTTCCTTAATTTCAAAGCATAGTAACAAAACAAGTGCATACATACATACATACAGGTAAAAAATATGAAAGATAAAAAAAAGTGAAATATAACAAAGTGTGTACAAAAACAATGTATCATATATGGATTTAATAAATAGTTATTTTAAAAATATTAAGAGTTAACATAACCTTACCTAGTTCTTTTCTAACTCGTTCAGTTTCCTGAAGTTTTTGAACTAAGTGATTTGTGCCGTTTTGCACTGTACACGAATAGGCTGTTGCTGTGAATACACAAAATAAAGTAAATATTTACTTTTCTGTTTATCATACAGCATGTTGACAATTTATTGGCTATATAACATTGTGATGCCAATTAATCTTCATGGAATCGTTAATGAAATACATGTAAATGCTGAATTTAACTTTGGGAATCTATTTTGGTAACAATTAGCAGTACAGTGTTTTAAAATTTGGGCCTAAGCTTTCTTTTGGTACAAAAGCTATATAAAGTATATGCAACACTCATAATGATTAAATATCATTTTAGATTAAATTTAAAAGTCTTTAGTAATTGTTGAGTATGAAAGAATAGGTTTATTTCTCTTTAACTTACATGAAGGTAATACTGAAGATATACTATTGACCATGGCTGAATTTCTAAATTATCTCTTTTCCCACTACTAATCACTAAATACTTTTAAGAAACATGGCAAACCATTAAAGTATTACAAAAATCAATCTTATTATGATGATTAAACGGTACTTTTGAACTCCATTTATCATTTCTAAAAATTAAGCTAAAGTATCTCAGGTTTTATGATGTCACATTGACAGGATGATTCGAGCATTGTCATAATGACCGAATCTTATCTAATCTGTTTCAAAAGTTTCTTCTTGAAGCAGGAAGAAGTTAAAAGTTGGTTTTACTTTTAGAAACAAAACATATTACATAACTTTTTCTACACCTACATATTTACAACAATAATCTACATGCACAACTGTAGAGTATAAAGTACTACTAAATAATGCAAACAGTTGTATGTGCATGATTACAATTTTGTAAATACAAATATATTCACAAAAATATTTTATCATTTTGACAGAAGCTCCATCAATTTCATTTCAATAACAAATACAGTATTTGTATTTTGTACTTATGACAAAGATATTAAGGCTATCTACCAGTGCCCCCAATTTTGACCTACTGATCAGAAGGAAGAAAGCCAGTCAACAGCATCCTTCCACCTATGTTTGTCACTCTTATAATGCATACACACTTTAAAGTGCAGGTAAAATGCAAAACCCACCACCAATTTTTTGGTTACTCTTCATGTATAAAATGTCAGTCATATCTCACTAATTGAGTAATTTATTAAACCCCTGTTTACCAGCTCCAAAATTCATAGCTCTATTACAGAGTCAAACTGCAAAACTATAGAGAACCCGATCAATGAAACAGTGTAAAACAATTGTGTTGCTTAAAGCTTGTAAAACTGAGCTGACCAAACAGAGAGACAAAATACATTCACCACACAAATACAATATTCAATCACATACTTACAGTAGGCAGTGTTTTGTATTCTCATTCGAAGCCCTTCTTCTTCGAATAAAGCAGCATAATATTCATCATGAACATCTCTAAGAAACTGTGAAAAAATGTAACAAAATAATTTTATCTTAATAATAGAAAAAACAAGACTCAAAAATATCGACAATCCATGCGTAGCTTTAAGTCTATTTCAACATATTTTATTTTTATTTATTTTTTAATTGCTATTAGTTTTTCTGTAACCTGGTATGATTAGTTTTTGAGGTCATATGCTCACTGGCAAGAAACCTCATATATTTCTTTGATATACGTGACAACTGTTTTTACCTAAAATATACTAAACCTGTTAGAAGTAATAAAAAATGACATGCCAACATATAGGAGTACAAATACCACTATCATTTAATTTTTAAGACATTCAGCAAGTTGAGTATGCTGGCAAGTGTATCAGAGATCATTTCCACGTGTAGTCTATTGCAAAATTTGTAGATTTTGTACTGTATATTTAAAAGTACAATACAGTTAAAGGCTTAAAATATTTGTTTGTAGAAAAAAAAACTATTAATCTCTTTATTCTAAAATGTGCACTTAAAAATATCAAAAAGGAATACTAATGCTTAGAAGAAAGCCTGAAATGAAGGGGCTTAAAATACTGAACATGTTACTGTGAGGCGGTCCAATCATTTATCTGTATTATATATGGATTGGTTAGACTCAACCACTGATCCTTAGAATGAATTCATTACAGCTAACAATCTAAAAATGTTGACACCAACATATACTCTTATGTGGAGAGGATTTGATTGTGTGTTTAATTTCATACAAACCTACTCAAAGGCTACCTGTATTCCCAAATTTTGAAGTGATAAATTAGAGGAAAGGCAGCTAGTCAACACCACCCACCACCACTTTTTGGCATACTCTTTACCAGTAAATAGTGGGATTGACAGTCACATATAATATCTTCACAGTTGAAAGGGTGAGCATGTTTGGTGACAGTTTAGATCCTGCAATCCACAGATTGCAAGTTGAGCACCCTAACAATCGGGTCAGATATAGGATGGTGTTTACCAAACCATGTGGAGAGACTAAAGTATCACTATTTAATAAAAAATATTGATTAGATTAAAAAAAGATATACATACATAAAAAAATCACTTTGGGGATTTTTTTATATAATTTCTGCTAATGAATGATAACTGCATTTAAAATAAACTACAAAGAACATGAAATTACTGAAGCAAGTTGCATGACTAGAGGTTACTGAACAGAATATGAAATTATATTTTGATTGAATTACAACTAACATTTACAACTCTTAAAAAAACTTTCTGATTTCCCTGTCATGTTGTAATAAGTAGGCTAACAAACTGAAAGTACACTGTTTGGTCCATTTACAACAATCTCAATAATAATACAAAAATAATGCAACAAAAGCACTAATGGAAGCAAAATATGATAAACAACCATTATAAATTGGGGCTACTGTCAAGGTCATCCCTTACTGCCAACCATCAGCTTTGTGTGTGTTGATGGTGCTATCGTACAAAAGCTAGAAATACGGTTAAATTAATTTAATGTTCTACTTAATCTTTAATACTAAATTAAAATTTTTTCACTTTATATAGAAATAGAAATATTTTACCTTTGGTTTTATAACTAATCCTCCCACTACAGTAAACAGTCTAGCAAAGCCAACAGGTGTACACACTTTAGAAAGAAAATCAGAATATTATCAACAATTTGGAAGTATCAGACAGTATATAAATTGTGTATTGAATGTGAAAGAAAATAAAACTATTTGTCATTCTTATACCATATAAATTTTAATGTGGTTTAATTAGAAGCTAGATAAAAAGTGGGCTACATGTAGGTTGTTTATGCAAAGAGAGTAATTCACTTTTATCCTGTGAAATGTAGAAAACGGTAGAGTCCTCTTCCCATTTGTGTCTATGTATATGTATGTGTGTATATATATGGCTCCCACTTTTATACACAATTTGAAATTCAGACTTTTACTATGTAGTCAACCACTGGCTAAGCAGTCATATTCAAATTAGGCAAAAAATTCCACAGCCACATAATCACATCAAACTCAGGGCCCTTTAAATAAAAGAAGAATACTTCATATCCATTAATTATCATTTTTTGTATGTCTGATGAAAAACAATTTTCCAGAAATTTTGACAAAATCTGAAAATGAACAGTTATCTAAGGTATCTGAACCAATGATTTGACTCTTACTCATTAATGGGTGCAAAAATTCTTGACTGGCTCATGCCACTTCAAGTTCATTCGGTGACTCTATCCAACAATAATAATCACACACTCAATCTATGTGTAAGTGCTAAGTGTTTTTCTTCCCATCTTGACAGCAAGGAAGAGTGAGGACTTATGCAACACCAGCCTGAACATCAAACCAGGTAACCCAATTCATTTTTGTCCCTAATGGCCAAGTAGTGCATCTCTGCAAGTTCACCTTTAATAGTATACAAGTTTTAAGTTCTTAATTTTATAAGGCAATTTTAAATTAAAATCCAGAATTTCCCTTAGTGTGAGAAATGTGACATTTATTCTCTAGACATCCCCTCTTCTCTAGTTTATTTACCACCCCTCCAATAAGTATGAAGTTTAACGTAAAGTAATAATTATATTGTCATCGCTCAGGCAAATCATAATTTTCATAGCCTTCAATATTGTTTGGTTAAAGAGCCATCAAATAGAAAATCAGACCCCTTTTGCCACACCTACCTGCTACACCCCCTCTTTCAGGATTTTTCAATAGTTCTCTCTTATGTTTAATACTATATTACTTATAACCAATAGAAAGCCAAGGTCTTCATTTATCAAATGACATATTATATTATGATGATTTTCATACAGAGAAGTGTCAATTTCTCTTTCAGTACAAGTTTCATTCTCATGGGAATCACACTGACTAATCTGGATGAATGTGTAACAGCTGTTATCGCATAGTTAGAAAGCCAGAAAAATTGTGATAGTTATGGGACAATGTCTGCTTTTTATATGTTGTTATTTTATGTTCTTTGATACATTATTTAACTGAATAAAAATTATTTAGTACACTACTACCATTAGTATAAAAATAGTAGGCTTAAGTTTTAAAAAAAAAAGGCCCAGGTAAATACTTTATTTCTTGATTTTCATGTGTATTCCTTATTTATTATTATAACTAAAATGCAAAAATAGGAAACTCTTTAGGTTAGAGATTAGGTAAAATAAATAATAATAACATAATAAAAAAGTTTCATGGGGCATGCACACTAGCAGCTCGGAGTAGCTCATGGATAACATTATTCGATAGCATAACACGAGTCCTAAGTTCCCCAAGTATTTACAACTTATAATGGTGTGAATAGTAGTTAAACACAGTTCAAAGGGCAATAAAACAATAAAATTTAAGTATAAATAGATATATACTGTTATGAATTTAAAATTACTTTGGATAAACAAATGTAGTTTCATGTTACAATTTGAAGTAATTCTAGAAAGAAAAATAGGGTAATTTAGATTTATTTCAATTTTTTTTGGTTACAAGGTCAGTCAAATTGACCAACCCTTGTATAGAGTTAGGTAAAAAAAAAAAGAAAAGAAAAAATATAGTTTTCCTGAAAAAAAAATATATGAAAATCTTTAAAATATTTCATTAAAAAGTCAGATTTTTTTGTACGAAAAAAACTTGTAATGTTTACTGAAAGTTTGCCCAATTTTGTGAAAACACACATACTATATTAAAAGTTACTAGTATTGAAACTATAACAAGTACAAAGTGGTCACGTGGTCGGTCAATTTGACCAAGTCTGTGTTGAGAGTTAAAGCACAGAGAATTATTTGCTGATATATTTCAACTGGACCCAAAAATGATTTTTGAAACTGTAAAGCTTGCAGATGCAGAATATTCACCACTACCCAATCTTGTTGTTATGATTAGGGACATGATCTGCCAATACTTATAAAAGCAAATAGGATATTTTACTTTTTCTTGGCCAAAATTCAGAAGTCTCGTTGAAATATATAACTTAGTTTTAATGCCTGATGATGATGAGGAAGAGGAGACATTTCCAGAAACAGGAAACAATGAAGTTGAGGAAGAGAAAAAAAGAATTCATCAACCACTCATGCAAGGATTGTCTCTGACGTGTATTTGCCTTCACGAGTCATAATAATTTACATTTACAAGCTTATGAACACAATTTTATGGCATATATTGTAGTAATCACTCTTTCTGTTACTTAAGTAGCTTGTGAGCAAAGCTTTTTAAAGCTTAAGAGAATAAAAGTAAGTGTCAGAAGATCACTAATGAAAGAACATCCTGAAAACTTGATGGTGATCAACATGAAACAGATCTTGGAGACAGGTCAAACAGCGAAGGATTATTAACAATGTTTCTAACAGAAGTATTGAACTTAGAACACTGCTTTTACTTTGATTATCATCAGTAACATATCTGAATTCAGAATGATTTGTGACTCATTTTAGGTTGTGTTTGTATTTTTGTCTATTTTCATTTCCGAGATTAATTAAGTAGCAAATGTTGAATATTTTCTTATGTATTTGAACTTGTAGCATTAAATTACAATGTTCTTTTTGCAATCCTAACATGCATCAATGCTACCCCTGTAAGCTAAATCCCAAAGTCCTTTTTCAAAGCTAGTCTGCATTTCTTTATGGCTATACAAGATCATTTTAACATGAATAAGTCTGGCTTTAAAAATAACTCCCATAAGGCCTACTTGCACTTGCCAATGCAATGAAAGATTGAATTAAATACAGTCTATAAATGCAAAGTCTCATCTACTTAAAATGTCATTATTATAGAAAACACAGCAACTAGATCAACTAAAATTGCAAACAATAAAATGACTAGCCCAGAAAGACTTACCTAACAACATCAACACACCAAGACACGAGACACATGAGTACAAGAAAGGAAGGTAATACTTCCATACACCTGTTGAAGAAAACAAGAGTAATAACTGGTTTCAAATGTAAGTTTTAAAAATTCTGGAACATCACAAAACAAAAAAGCTATTAAAAAACAAATTATATGATAAATAATCTAAGCCACCATTATTTTTTATGTCATTCTTGATTATTTTAGTCTTATGTAATCATTTTAACTGTTTTACATATATATAAACTCAAATTATAACTTTTATCAATATGCCTATTTTTGCTTTTTTATGAAGCACTAAGCATCACATCATAATTAAGCTACAATGATTAGGTATTTTCAGTTAATGAATTTTAACCTCATTGCTGACTGAAGGTTTTTTTTATTCACTTTAATATATATATAATCAAACTAGCAGATACAAACTCAAAGTTCAAACTAGAAAAATATTGCTGAGGTTAATCTAAAAGCAGAAGACAGAATGAATATTCATATGACATAGTATGAACTATTTAAAAATTATCTAATGTTTAAAAATAACATTTATTACATAGTACACCTCTTTCTGATGACATGTTTATCGTATGGTTTTCATATTAGTAAGGATCTACAGTAGAACGATGGCAACAACAACCATCATTTGACACATTCAATATAGTTTGATGAAGATTGAATATGTATATTTCAAACGTTCAAGAATTAAAGGTTTGTTAGTGTACACACGTAGGTTATATTACATCATTCGTTGTATATCTTCTATATAATAGGGTATTATTATACAATCATTCTGTATTTCTATACGATAATTTATTTTCACTCAAAAACTAACATGAAGGAATAGGTTCTATATAATGAGAGAAGAATTATATTTCACTAAAAGTATGATAGTGATAATTTATTACTTACTTGTTATAGAGAACATATCATGATAGGATTAGATCAGGATAGCTACTGTGAAACAGTGATCCTGACCAAACCCTACTTAAAAGGCCAACTTGCCACTTAGCCCTATCTCGACGGGTCACGTATCAAAGGCCATGTCATCACTTTTGTTGACTTGCATTCAAAATTTTATTGAACTACTATTTTATGAATCTATGTCAGTAAGTTTGGTATCAAACTGTAGATTATATTTCAAATTTTAGTATTATATGTTAGTTAATTTCTTAATTTAAAAGTAAATATTAAAAAACACAGCTAAACATTGATTTTTGTGTGTCATGTGGTATGTTGACTGCAGCACTGGTTCCAATTAGATGTTTGTGATGTCAAAATACAAAATCTACAGTTTTGTATGAATTAGGAACTCAAACTACTGATATTGACAAGCTAGAATATAAAATAAGAATGTCTTATCTTTTCTATTTGCTAAGATATCGCTCCTGTACTGAATCAAACACAGTGCTCCCCCATTCCTGCTCACCTCTTTCTATTTTCAGAAACAGTCCCTTATATGCACTCACTTCTATATATTACACGAATAACCAATCAAAAGCTCAGAATGTCCCCTTAGTGAAAAGTTTTCTCAGCAATTTTGACATGTTATTGTGCTAATTTCATTCTTTTCACACAAGATTTCAAACGATGAGGTAAGTCTTTAGTGAGCTCAAAATTTTTTAGACCCAAATACAGCTTAGTTACTAGACTTGATAAATTATAGTGGAATTGTATGGTATCGATTAAGTAATTTATGATTTTTTGGGTATTTAAAATGTACATATAAAACCTAAAAAAAATTTCTTTTTACATCCTCTACGTGGTAAAATTCATGAGGCTTAGCAACCTACGACAAAGAGGTCATAACTAGTAGATATAATTGTTTGCTTTACTTCTTTATTTACTGTTCTATGTTTTAAGAAAAATAAGTTTAGGAGCTTATTTGTAAATAGAAATAATGTAGACACATATATAATGTATAATAGTTGAAATGTGACTGTATTTTACAAAATACTAGTCCACTAAAACACAGCCAAGACAGGTCATTTTGTAAAGACTAAAGGTCAGTTATATGTTATTGGACATAGTAACACGATTACACGTGCACCACATCATTGCAACATCTGTATTGTTAGCCAGGCACAGCTGGAAGGTCAATATAATAAATATATAATGTTAAGCGATTTAAGCTATTTAGACAAAAAATGTGTTTTAATGTTATAATTTGTAGTCATTCTAGAACGAAAAATGCATAATTTATATTCTTTTCCTAATTTTTTATTGAGGTTATGAAGTCAGTCATATCGAATCAACCAGTAGAGAAACATACTAGTGAAAATAAGAAATAATATATAGTTTTTCTACAAAAATTTTCTTATAATTATCTGGAGATTATAAAGAATTTGCATGTGAAATTTGAAAACGTACTAATGCATTAAAGTATTTTTAATCTTAAAAAATAAATTGTTTTGCATATTGGATAATCAAACATTCTGAAAGAAAAGGTATACGAGAAAATCTTTAAGTAAAAAATCATAATACTTAATTTCAAAACCTGATATTTTGTGTATGAAAAACATGTATATGTTTACCAATAACCTGCATAATTTTGTAAAGATGTGCATAGATTATCAAAACTCGTAGTATAATTACTCTCATGGATACTTTCGTGATTCCACCCAGCCCATAATGGAAAGGTTAAAGTAAACAATCAACAATTTTGTTGTTTAAATTTTATTTTGGTTGTTTTATTTCTATCACATATGATTTTAATTTAACAGTACCAAACTGAACTACTTTTGTATATATTTCAAACACAACCTTTAAAAATTGATATTTGTGTTACATGTTATGGCAAACAAGTCATATTTCTTGTTTAATGTGAAAATAATCAGACTGTCCAGAATGAATAACAACTTAAAAGTGATATTTTAGATACACTGTCCTCATTAACCTAAAGAACAAAACGTAAAAACACCAATGACCTTCACAAGTACTCTTGTTTCCAAGTTTACTGTTTGTGTTTTGTATTCCACACAAAACTACTCAAGGGCTATCTTCTGTGCTAGCCCCTCCCTAATTTAGAAGTGATAGATTAGAGGGAAGGCAGCTAGTCAACACCACCTACCATCGACTCTTGGGCTACTCTTTACCAAAGAATAATGGGATTGACCAGCACAATATAACAAACACCCCATGGCTGACCAAACGATGATGTTTAGGGACAGGATTGAAACCCACAACTCTCAGATTACAAGTTGATTGCCATAACCACCAGACTATGTCAGACCAAGTTAACTGAAGTATCATGCTAATACATTTCAGTGTTGATTATTACTTACATTTGATTTATTTTCACAGATGGGCTTCTATTTATACATTCAACATAGTACACAAAGACACTGTAGAAACTTTTTATATGTTCAGTAACTTTAGAAATTATATTACCTCATTTCATTATTGGTAAAAAACAAACACAATACATATTCATGAATGAAATAAATTGTTGATTCTAGATACCTGATATATTCTAAATTTCACCTAAGTTTATTGAAATAAATATCAATTTTTAAACTCAGGGAAATATACTATCACTATCAACATAAATGAATGTTCATTTTAAGTGTCAAGATACTGCAAATCACAAAAATGAACAACCTCAAAACCTTGATAACTTTCAACAGATGAGCTGGAGTTGGTGTGATTTTCTTGCTCATGAAGAAAATATTTACCCCTCCTAAAAAGTAACTGATCCTTCTGACTATTAGTAACACTTTTTAAGTGTACATTTACAAATAATTACATGAAACCACTACCACAACATGTTTATTCTAAATATATGTAATTATCACATTACCTTTAATTAACCACATGTTAATATGGTTAGGCACTATATTAACACACAACCATTGTTCTAATGAAATGCATATTTATACAGAATAAAACATAATACATCTTTACCATGCAGACTGCATTTATAGGTTCTTTATTTAATTTCTGTAGTGCATATTGGTGTATAAAAAGAAATCTTAATATTAGAAATAAAGGACCCTATAACACCAAATTTGTTATTTTTCTTTAATTGGACACTACGTTTTGCTTTACAGCTTCGTCAGGGGTGTTCTACTAAAACACAAACCATAACTAAGAGTACAAAGCTTCAATATATATATATATATATAGTTTGGGTGATTAAATTAGTAAAGCTTCACTGAGAACAAGAATTTCCATATTTTTCTAACACTACAGTTAATTGTTTTAAATTTTCAAACAATCTTAAGGCTTTGAAGTAATATTCTAAATTTCACATATTCTTATTTCATTTCAAGGAGCCACACTAATTGCTTTTATTATACACCAAATGCAACATTTCTTCTAACAGCAATAGGTTCCAACAGTATACCACACACACACACAAAAAAAGGTTTCAAATAAGAAGCATAACTATTTTAAAGTTAACATTTTCCTACATTGAAAATGTATTTCCAATAGGTACCTAGCTCTTCTCACCCAAAATTATCTCGACTTTGATTTGCCCTCTAAGCATACTGTGCCACCTATATTAGCACAGGTAGTTCCCTCTACTATTCTAGCACAATCCTTACCTTTGAGAATTAGCCGTTACAAACTAAAACACAGACAAATCAGTGAGGTGGAAGGATAGGAAGTAGGTCGAGCGGAGACAAATACCTATTGGAAATACATTTTCAGTGTAGGAAAATGTTAACTTCCAAAATGGTACTACCTCCTCTCACCCAAAGCTAGAATCTCACGTTGAAAAGGCGAAGGCGAGACAGCATTCATATAAGTGGACAACAACCTTCTTGAAAGAACAGGTGTGCCAGAAGAAGAGACTAAGGCACACCTGTGGGGGTATAGAAGTACTTCTAGAACAGGTATGCTCCTCGCCCAGTAAATAAACAGTAATATGTATAGGACAGAATGTATGGGGCAGGGACCATATACTCAAGGAAAAGATGTACATCACTTTGCTTTGGAGCAGTGTGGGATAACTATGGTGTGAATCAGCAAAGAGTGGACATATGAAATTTCTAGTATGCAATCGACAACAAGTCTTAAGAAATATGTGTCAAGGCAAGTCCTGGAGCAATCTTCCCCTAAAAAAATTAATAAAAGTCATAGTTAGGTGCCAGATAATGTTATATAGGCATAAGTGTCTAGTGCTAAAGTACAGGAAATTGCATACAAAAAGGCAATCTGTGGTCCGGCCAGACCAAAAACATCCAGGGGAAGTGCCTTGGGATATATTGGATTATGCCAAGTGTGAGTAAAAACAACAGTGGAAGCACCTTGCATAAGATACAGAGATCAACAAGTGCAGTACGCCTGGGCAAAGAACATCCAGGGGAAGTACCTTGGATATATAATATTATGGCCAAGTGAGGTTCACCTTGGCAAAGAACATCCCAGGAAAGCACCTTGGGATATGTAAGATATTGCAAGTGCAGTCCATCTAGGCAGAAAGCATACAGTGGAAGAGCCTTGCATATATAGGGTTAGTCCAAGTATGGCATCCCTTGGAAAAAACATCCAAGAGAAGCGCCTTGGAATTATATCGAGAAAGTCAAGTGCAGTCCAACCAGGCAGAAACATCAAGTGGAAGTGCCTTGCATAAACATGCATATTGTGATCAACAAGTGCAGTCAGCCTGGACAAAACATCCAGGAGAAGCACCTTGGATCCAGAATAGTATATTATTGCCTATCCAATAATTATAATGACAATAACCTTCTTCTTGCTGAGTGGGTACTTATAAGTTGAGACTTTTATTTCTTTCATTGTACAACCACATTCAGGAGGATACTTCCATGGTCCACCACTCCAGCAACTGGGAACCGAAGTGGTAAAGACTCTTGTGCTCCACTAGAAGAAAAAAAGGGGTGGGGGAGAGTATGCATTGGAGAGTCTAGAGGAATGACACAATAGAGACTGTGCAATGGGTGTCTGCAATTCCCTATTTTGAAAAGCAGAAAGACCCATATTGTAAGAATCACGAGTCAGTGGGAATGGGCAAAAATTCCCATCTGCTTTACTCATGAAGTTCATGAGTGACACTCCTTTATATACAATACACTGATAATAAAATTTTGATATATAGATATACATACCACGGAAAAAGCGTCCAGTGGTCTTACAGAAACACCCCATCTCTACAAAGAGTGTGCTACGAATGTATTAGGAGTTGTCCACATACTTGCTTGAACAATCTCCTCCAAAGGTCGACGGATTCAAGCATCTAAGGACATAGTTAAGTGATGAATTTGGTGTGATGAAACACTGTGCAGCTGGCAACTATACATGGACAAATCTGAATACACTAGCCGTATGAGTTGCTGAACCCAGCCAGTAAGGGTAAGAGAAGATAGGTCTTGGGAAACAGAGAGATTCCAGGGAATAAATAGGCGGGAACGGGAGCTAGGAAAGGAGGCAGTACCAGACACATAACAATGCAGGGAACTCTCAGGAAAGAGAAGATGATCTGGATCCGAAAGTGAGTACAGGTGTGCAATAGACAGTAAGGAAATGGCAGAAAAGGCAAAACAACCTTCATGGGCAGCAGCTTCCTCAGGAAGGAAGGAAGGGCCTGATCCAGATGAAGGATAACATAAGAGGAATGGTAAAGGACACAGGAAATATTAATGGAATAAATATTGGAATGACGATGACCACATGCCCGGAAGAGAAGGAAATGGGCCTTAAGGGAAAGATGGTACAAGGAACATATAGCAACGGGTTCAAAGGAAGAACTAGACAGGACATGAAGAACAATATTGAGATCCCAAACTGGAAGAACAAAAGGATGTGGAGGACAAACAAGAAGAAAGGAACAGAAAAAGGATGGAAATAATCAGGGAGGCGAAAGCTTTATGGGATCAGTAGAAACAGAACGTGTTTGACGGAGCAACCCGATAACTACCAACTATTGACATGAAGAAACCCTGATCAAACAACTACGTAAAGAATTGGGACAGATGCAGAACAGAAGGACTGAAGCCAAGGCAAAAGAACCACCATCTAAAGGTACATGGACAATGAGGAAGGCTGAATGGTACAGGTAAGGAAAGACACTACACGAGGAGTGAGTCCCTGAGATGAGGCGAGGGACTGGACAAAATCCATGCATGAAGACAGAGTTTGGTGATGTCTGGATGAAATACGTCTGATCGCGATTGTCAGAAAAGTGACCTGGACAGAGTTAAGGGCAGGAGCTGTTGTTCCAGTAAGGGCCAGATCAGAGGGAACCACGTATGATCTGGGCAATACGGAAAAGTTAGCAAAACACGACAAGGAGTGGTCTGGACGATGGAAATGACCCTGGAGATTAGTCTGAGAGGAGGGTAGGCATATAGATGAAGACTCCTCCAATCCTGACTGAATGCATCCACCCCCAGAGCTGAGGGGTGTGGAACAGGAGACCAAAAGAAATGTAGTTTGGAATTCCAGTGAGTGGCAAATGCAACTGTATGTGGTGTTCCCAGGCAAGAACACACCCACTGAAATACTTGAGGATGAAGGGACCACTCCATAGGTAGAACTTGGTTGGGATATGACAAGCAGTTGGCCACCAGATTCATAATTCTGGGAACATGACATACTAAGATGGTTAAATTGTAATCATGGGCCCAGTACAGGAGATTGAGTGTCTGGAAACACAGAGACCAGGAACTGGTTCCCTCCTTGTTTGGTGATATAGCTGACAACAGTGTAATTCTTGGAATGAACCATCACCACCTGCCCTCAGAGGAGCGAGAGGAAATGAGGCATAGCTGACGAACAGTCAAAAGTTCGAGGAGGTGGATATGGAATGTAGTTTCCATGACTGACCACAACCCCGAAATCTCCCTGAACTTGAGGGAAGCTCCCCAACCTACCTAGGAAGCATCTGTGAACAGGTGAACATTGAGATGAGGCAAAGGAATTGAATTGATCAGGTGACTGGCAAAAGGCTTGGGACAATAACTGTAATGAGGATATAATGTGCAAAGAGAGTGGTCAGGGCAAGATGAATCGTAGGAAACTGAGACTGATTAAAGTGGATCAAAATCCCCATATTCAAGCCCCACTGGGGGAAGAGAGAATCCAAGCACTGGGAATCCAAAAAGGGATGCGAGGCCTGCTAGTAAGCCAAAGAATATTGATCCAACAACTGGGGTGGACAGGGCATACCCGCACCCAATGATAATTTATCAGAAAAATGTTGAGTATGAATTCACTTGTTGGGTGAGGAAGGAAAAACATAATAATCAGAATGAGGTTCTTCACCTAACAAGGTAAGAGAGGAATCATGGGCTAATGATGAAACATTTAAAATTTGACATACCTGATTAATAAGGTGTAGGAACGGTGAGGTCAGTAAACTATCCTGACTGTCAGCATTAGGTGACTGACCAAAAAAAGTCCAAATTATCTTCATCCTGAATAAATTCTTTCTGAGAAGATTGTTCAGGGGGGAATGGGAGAATGAACTGACTGCCGAGCAAAAGTGTCCAACTCCCGGCAAATTAAGGCTTAAACTTCCTTGGTAGATATCGTCAACCTACCTTGCCGGGGACTAGTGACATAACTATCCTCAATATTGGTGGGAACTTAATCATCCACCACCATAAAATTTAAATTCATATTTAAAATTAGAATTCAAATTATGGAAGAATTCTTTGAAATATAAAACTAAAATCCAAAAGCAAACACTTTAAGTTGAAATTGGTGAAGGACTGAAACGCAATCACAACAAAAAGCAAGCACATGGAATGAAGTACACACATATTTATACACTGTAATGCCATTCTAGAATGTGAAGATTGTGCTAGAATAGTAGAGGAAGCTACCTGCTCTAGTATAGTGGCACAGTATGCTTAAAGGACAAATCAAGATTGAGATAACTTTGGGTAAGAAGAGCTAGGTACCTATTGGAAATACATTTTTAATGTAGGAAAATGTTAACTTTAGAGTAGTGATGCTTCTTATTACAATTATTTGAAACTTTCTGATGTACATATTAGAGAAAATGTATAGGTGCTGCAGTATGATTGGTGGAGGGTAGTCACATGATATGCACATTCTGAAATGGTGCGAAAATAAAGGGTTATAATAGACTGGTGTACTATTAGCAAAAGCTATTTTTAACAATGTTTAGAAGACAAATCTAGATCGAGATAGCTTTGGGTGAGAGAGAGAGGTTACCATTTTGGAAACATAAGTATTATTGATAAAGGACTATTAAACCATATGGTATTTTGTAGGATTTTTAAGCTCTACAATAAATATATAATATATATTTTAGGTCTTACTTACACAGGAAGACTGTGTGGAGATCCCACTTATCGTCAGCTTTGAAACAGCAATGATAAAACAACAACTAAGATGTTTGTAAAACTTGTACTGTTTGCATAAAGTATGAACATTTTGCAAGTCTTAATTTTTAAATGAAGAATTTATTTTAAAGTACTCTATGAGAAACTACAAACATTATTGCAATTTACCAGTTTTTGATATAAAAGAAGTTTTCAACATAATAGAAACATTTATATTTTACACAAAGTACAAATAAAAGCAGTAAAAATAAAAAAATCTAAGACAAGAAAATATCAAAGAAAACTTTCAAACTGAACAATAAAACTAAATTTTCTGAAACCACATATATGTAAAGATACTCATAATTACATAAATAATAACAAGTTTTATATTTACTTAGTGTATAGTAAAATTGGCTTTAGGATTTGATTTCAAGTCTTTCTTTAGGCAGCTTTTAACAAACAGTACCTGAAGCAGTTTGACCTTCAGTATTTAAAAAGATGTAGCATAAAAAGAAACTAACAAGACCTCCAACAACCTTTCTGCATAACATAGAGTATCCATAACTTGCATTATCATTATAGGATACACAAATCAAAAGTTGGAGAACACGTAAATATTGTCATAAAATAAGCCAAACAAACACTTCAGTGCATTCAAAACTAAAAATATAAAACAAAGTAGAATGGGGGTGGGGGAAGATAAAAGCACAGTCAACATTCTAATCAACAAATTTCATCAGATCTCCAAAGAATCATGAGTGAAATATTGATCATTCCCACTTGCTTTCTGAGGTTTGTGACTTAGTTTTGGAATGTAAATCTTTTGCAAGTAAGAATCCTAAATTATACTTACTAAAGAATGATCGTATGCTACCAGTGTCAAGTAAAGCAGACAAGATATATGTCATTCCTAATGTAAGAAGGCCCAGAAGAACTAAAACAAGGAACGTTTCATACACTCGTGCCATAATCCCCTGAAAAATGTAAATTACATTTTTAAAGTTCCTAAGTTCATGATATGGAATATATCAAGCAATACAAAATGTATAAGTTTATCTTGACTTTAACAATTTATTCCATAGGAATTTTCTATAAATGTCCATATTTATTTTTAACTAAGTACAGATCAAATACTCTTTGTAAATTCTATCACTTCCTCGTTCATTTCTATGTTTTTCTTCTATTAAAAACAGGAAAATGAAGATTTTGTTTCAAAAAACAATTTCTTATCAGTTGTACAAAGTAATACTTTTATTTTGTTCACAACGTCTTACCAGGTTTACCTGGCATTATCAAGTGAGATACAAGAACTGAGGCTAACAGAGTTTAATTTTACAGAAAAGGAATCACCTGAGAACCTATAACAATACTAATCTACAAGCATGTGATTAAGAACTTGCAAACTTAATAAAGTAATTTATCAATCAATTGGCAAATTTGTACCTCACCTGATGATGCCAGGTAAACCTGGTAAAACATCAACAAAATAAACAAGTTTTATTATGTACAACTGATAAAAACTATTTGTTTGTTTTATAGCAAAGCCACATTGAGCTGTGTCTACCACAGAGAAGTGAACCCATAGACTTACTGCTGTCCCACTGGGGGACAAAAATGAAGATAGAAAACTTTTACAGATACATTAATAGCATATTCATTAGACTCTTGTATCATGGTGCAAATAGAAAGTGTAAGTCTCACTTTTTTATTCTATAAAATGTGGATTGAGCATATTTGGGATAAAACTTTACAATTCTTGGGGAAACATATATATAAAACTATCCTTACCTTTTTGGAACCAGGAAGTCCCTCAGATTCAGGAAACAGGTAGGCAAATGGAAGAAGAACAAAAATGGATATATTGGAAAATAAAAAAATGTAGTTCCATAATCCTACATGAAAAACAAACAAATATAAAAGTAAATAGATATTAAAGAAAGTAATACATCAAAAATAAATAAAAAAATGACAGAATAAATATACTATGAGTTATTTCTGCAAATATAAAGTTTTTGTAGACAGCTTTCTGTAGTGTAATGTATACATCCAGAGCCTATATGACTGCACACAAGAATACATTGCAAAAGTTTTAAACTGTATAAATGTAATATGCTGTAGAAAGGAGGTGCAATGATACAATGGTTGTGGCAAAACACAAGAATGCCTTGAACAAATCTTTTGAGGACATAGGACAAAAAACAAAAAGATTCAAACTTTTGTACTATTAACCTGTATTACTACTGAATAAAAATTAATATACAGCAAGAACCATTTAATTCAGAAAACAAGAACACAGAATAAATAATAAAAGATAAGTATAAAAGAAGGAAAGATGCTGTTAAATGGTAAGTTACAGGATGGCATCGATATTATACATATTGTGAATATGTATAACATGTTCAATAATAACCTCATCATAAATCTAATTTTGTTGAAAATTACACCATTAATTGTGGAATTTTATATTTTCTAAGAGTTACTTAAACTGTGATCAGTTTCATACTGATCACAGAGGTAAATATATATTATAGTAAGTTTTATCTAAACAATACTTAATCTTTTATGGTTAAAATACTTTTGAATCACAATAGTTGAAAGCTAAATAATAGTAGTGTTAAACTGTTTACCCTGAATGAGTGAGCTGTTTAACCATTGCACATAGTAACTATTGGGATAAAATAACAGGACCTCGTTGCTAACAATGGAAATAGGCAGAAGTAAAGCTGCACCTAAAGAGATGCCCAAAGAAAATGTGCACATCCACATCCTGTAACACAAACAAAAAAACAACAACTAAGTCTTCTTTCTTTTAAGTTAGACCTGCATAATTTCCTTCAGTTTTATTTAATTTGATTTAAACATTACACAGACAAAACATTATAACAGACTAAGGTAAACATAACTTTTATTTAAAGGTTCCAAACAACCTGTTTTTTATCATATATTGAAACAAAAAATACTATAGATGTTCCATTTAAAACTGCACAAATCTGAGTCCACCACTATGAGAAGCTTAGTTTTGTTTACCCAATTTCCCCTTGTCCAGGGTCACTGATGAGAGTTGTAATTCCCCTAAATCTGTATAACTTAGCTACAAGTGGTGAATTGAATGATAGACTGGGCTTTATGTTTATTTTTTAGTATTAAAAATACACTGTTTACCTTTAGAGTAGAAAAATAATTTAGAGTTGTGGAAATTATTCATATCACCTAAGTAAACAGTGTGTGTTGGTAATTATAAAAATAAGTTCAACGTGTAAATTATTATACCATGTATTAAAATTTAACTCCACTAAAAAGCATCGTAAATGATATTTTTAAGAGTACAAGGCAAGCCAATTAATCTTATGTTTTATTAATCCTTTGACCAAATAAGAGTACATTATGTATTCACAACATTTGCATTGGATCACATTTTTTTTACAAACCTGGGTATGTTTTAATTATTCAGTAATAATAATAATTGGATAAAAATGTATTCATTTTTTCACCAAATCACAAATATATTATTATAAAACAATCAGGAAAGACATAAATAAATCATGTTGTCTATATATGTTTGTTTGATATTTTTGTGACAGGAAGATAACATTTTATACTATTTATTACATTAATTAAACTGACAGTTCCAACACACTAGATACGCTCCACCCACTTATCTATTGTTACTAAGCCCATCAAGCTTTCTTCAGATCTCTATGACAGAGAAGCAGCAAGGTGATGACTGTTTGTTGAATATCACAAACACAATTGCAATTTATTTTCTTCCCACATTTATGAAACTGTCTAAAAAGGAACTGCAAAAATGACTTAATTATTTTATGTACGAACACATTTGAACATTTTACAGCAATGAGGTGAACTATGAAGAATTAAGAAAAACAAAGCATCAAGTATAAAGACATCTGAACAAAATAAAATACTGACAATCAGTATTTCCAAGCAGATGCACCTGAAACAAGATAGGTGAAATTGTTATGCAAAGTTTAAGTATTTTCTAATGTGTTGAATAGCAATTTCAAATGTATATATTTTATTCAACTTTAAACAGTGGTATCACTGTCTGTTTAGATCCCCCCTCCTAAGAAAAAAAAAAATCACTTTTCATATAGGGCTTTTACATTATTCTTCAATTTATCAGCATTACTGGGAACCTTCTGACCCATTACATGCAAGCCATCCATTTTATCAGCTATTATCTATATAAATTAAAACAACAACAAAAACTACACATGGATTCAACAACTGGCTGCTGAAGGAGTGAAGTAAAACATGACAGAATTACAGACCAAGTAATAGTGGGAGTACCCTGTCTATCTTTATACACAAATATAAGTAAAAAAATTTATTCCAAAATAAAAAGCTATGTAGGGCTGGCTAATGAACTTTGAAAAATGAGCTAAACACGATAGGGATAGAAGTGGACATATCACTTGATCTGGCGACTAATCACATAGCAAGCTAAGCCATCTTGACTTTATGTGGAGAATAAAATCTCTACATTACTGGTATCCCCACTTTGTCTATCAAAAGCTTGGTGTTTGAATAGAATTTTAGCTTCCATCATTATACCTATCCTTTAGTTAACTTTTAGAATACTACTTTTATGACTATTTTACAACAGAGTAACATTTTAAGATTGGAAATTCTGGTTCTGTTTGTTTTGCCAGTAATATGTCCACTTCAATCCATATCTTGCTTCGTTCCTTTTTCAAGTTCAGTAGCCAGTCCTACATAGCTTTTTATTTAGAGATAAATTTTTTTCCTTGTACTTGTTTATTTTTTTATAAGATGGTGTACGTGGGTTACTAGGTTATAGAGTGTATTCTAAAGCTTTAGAAATTTTGCATAGAATAATAATAAAACAGGTATTCAAAGAGTGTGAAGACTGTTTTGCTCTATGAAATGATGATAAAATTATAGTTACTGCTAGAACTAGGTAGGTGCTAAGTCTCTTGAAGGAAGATGGTGATGAACGAAACAAATCTCAGTTTTGGCTATTCACCAGTTTTTGACCTTGGGAGCATTATGGATAGCTGAAAAGTGGCATATACATTGGAGATAGTGACTACGCCAGGTAGCTCTTCATATCTATCTTCTGATGACCTTGATTTTTTTGCCCCTTCACTTCATACATAATATATGTGTTGGCTCCCTAAAGACACTGACTGTATAGTGAGCACTGAGTATTCTACATGTTACAGTCATCTAACGTTCATCTGTTATTGGCTGGTAATTCATGTTTCACCCTGTACTTAAGCTTTTTAAACAAACACCAGATTTCTGTAAGAAAGCCAACTTCAAGAGGTAATAACATCGTTTACACTAGAATTATGATATTTTCCTTTTTTTTAATTTTGTATAGAATAAAAATAAAATAGGTAGTTAAAGATTGTGAAGATGTTTTGCTTTATCAGATGATGATAAGATTACAGTTACTACTAGAACTAGGTAGGTGCTAGAACTGTTGAAGAATGATGATGAAGAATGAAAATAAGAAATCTCGGTTTTGGCAGTTCACCAGTTTGACTTTTGGACACTCTGGATAGCTGAAAGCAGCATATACAC